AGACTACAATGAATCTAAGATGTATGAATTATTCAAATTGTTTCCATAAATGTTGTATTCAAAATTATATAAACATGTATGGGCAGTGGGATGCTACTTCGACAATGACACATTAAAACATAACAAGTAATTTACGCAAATGTACATTAAAAATAACCTATCCAAATAAATGATAACAATAATATACTTAGGTTATAAACAATTCACATTAAACTTAGATTACAGTGGCGATGTACCTTAAGAGCTATATACATACGACATACACGAGTTATTTACACTGACTCTAACTGAGGATACAACTGTGGCGACACTCACTATTTCACATACTAATTTCACTATATCACTTATTATCGAATATCACTTTTTATTAAATACTTATTATTTACTTGAATTCTTTCTTGGCATCTGGTCCCACGGTTCTTGCACATCTTGCAAGCCATTATAGAAATTAGGCGCAATAAACTTAAAACATTTTATGATTACCTCGCCGTGGCCGTCTTTTGCATCTATTGTCAAATTTTAAGAAACATTGAATTTGTTATTGTTTAATATTTTTAAGACCAAAAATTCCTTGCTCTAATGGCTGCAATAAAATAGCAAATCTGCAGCTCTATTGTTGTTAAGGAATGCACATTTCGTTTCTCGTATTTTAAAATTATCTTTACTTCTTTATTGCTTTACTACAAAAAAATCCTTTTAATGCCCGTTCCTTTAAACAAGCCAATTTTCATTTTGATGATAAATGTATATTCGACGTCTTGATTATTTTAATTCAAAATAAACATATTCGTCGCCAACAACCGCATTCGTCAAATTCAAACTGAACAATCACAACGTATCTTAGTTTCAATCTAAATTAACTACAGTTAGTGACTCCAAATACTCTATTTGTTCGTAACTAATAAAACAGTTGGTTGGAATTGTCATATAAATTGGATACTTGATTTAACCGTAATTTGTATTTGGAACAACCAATACACAAGAGACATATTAAGGGTTGGAGCCGTTTAGAAAAAAAACAGAAATTCAATAAAATAATTTCATTATAATTATTACTATTTTATAAATCATTAATGCAGTATTAAAAAAAGTTATTCATTAGCCTATGTGTTTTCAGACAATGTTTTACATCTGTGTCAAATTTCACTGAGATCCACATAGCGAGATCTGTCCTCGGCGGTATATCCAAACCGCTACGACTTAGAGTCCTTCAAGAAGCGAGCTTATCACTATCTCAAAGGCCGGCAACGCATCTGCGGTTCCTCTGGTATTGCTGATATCCATGGGCGTCGTTGAACACCTCGGTGTTCCCGCAGCTCGTATGCCCCTTCTGTTATAAAAAAAACCGACACTGTGCCGGTGTACTGGCGCAACACTAGCCTTATTTAAATGTCAACGTTTATGTCTCCTCACTAATCATTCGGACACTTGACTTTGTAACAAAAGCACGCCATTCGCACCAAGTGATTCAAACTAATAATATCTAAAACCTCAAACTAACATTCATCCGTCCTTCCAAACATTCACATGTATAATATTAGTAAGATTTGTCTAAAGTAGTAATAGGAAATTCTAAAGAACTATTTAATGCAGGCATAGTCGCATGCATCTAGTAGTTTATAAAGATTACTTTACAAGGCCTCTTCAGTATCGAAGCGAATAGCTGTGCTCCCGAGGCATCTTGTTAAATTTAACGTGATTAAAATTTTCCATTACGCAGAATGGGTTATGGAAATTACGTCTTTAACATGCAAGAAGCTTGTACTACATAAATGTGCTTCGACTAAATACTCCTTTTATATTGAAAGCCTTAAAGATTAATCAAAAAGGGTTGCCAGAGAGAGGATTTGTCATTGATTTATTACAGACAGACCTCAGTCTAGTTTTTACTAGACCTAGATTAAATTTATGCGTTAATAGTTTTTGATTAGGTACTAAAATCTTGAACGGCTGAACGGATATCGATGAAATTTGGGATATATATAGAACATAATCTAGAAGAATATATAGGCTACTAATAATGTTTGTTTTTAATTCCGTGCGGACGTAGTCGCGGGCGATTGCTAGATAATTTGTAAATGAAGAATCAAAGAAAAATCTTGTTTTACGATATTCATAGATTTCAATGCAAATTACCAACATTAATGTTTATAAATTTTGTATACATTCGTACAAAGAAAGACGATGCCGCGAGCAATCTTATGAATATATTAGACCTATCTGGGGCTTTCTTTTCATACTGTTGCCAACAAAAGAATCAATTGAGCGGTAAATTCTATTTTTTTTGACATAAATTAATATAAACATTTTACTAAGAATGAAATAAACAATTAGAAGAAATTGTCGATGAAATAAGGAATTTGAAATTTTTAATACGAAAACCGTCAACGTTTTCCTCCTTCGACAAGCTTTGCGTAGATTTTTAAAAAATAATAAGGTATTATTATTTGATATGTGTAAGATTTTTATTTTTAATCTATCTTAATAAAGTTAATCTAGTCCATTATACTACGGGTTATGTTAAGTTTATTAGTTTAGTTTCTCGTAATATTATTCAAATGTCGATTGTAATATTAATTCCTTTCTACCGTTAAACGTCAAATAGATCTTTTTAAATTCGTTTTTTTTATTATAAGGTGGCAATCGAGCAAGCGGCCACCTGAAATCGCTGAAATAGCGAAGTGACCGTTGCCCATAGACATACGCAATTGCATATGCGTTGCCTTCCTTTAACCGATGCCATCATCATTCGAATCATAAATATTTAATGACAATATCATATCATAACCATACACATACTTTACAAATTCAAGATGAATTAATATCGGATATTGTAACATTGCTATGGAATACCAACTATAGATGTCTCAGAGCTGGCCTCTGTTTGAGTTGTCGACGTGTTCCGCTATTCCTGCCTATAAATCTGTCTAGCAATCTATCCGCCCCATCTTGTGTGTCAAAGGGCTTTCACTATAGCAGGTGAGGCGCTCCCGATGATTAAACCCACTCGTACGTTACGACTTCCTTTGTTTGTGCACTCGAGCGCATTGTCTTTGTACGTCTACGATCTATATCAGTATTACATTGCTAGGAATTGAGTATCTCATCAATCAGGTATTATTGGCTAGTAAGATATCCGTGATATTACTACCTTGTCGTCACTATGTACTCAGTCAGTCGAGTCAGGAGCATATTTGCACGTTACACGCACGGTATTTGCACGTATGTTTGTTATGTAGAACTAATTGCCCCCCGCGACTACGTCCGTGTGGAATGAAAAAAAACTTAATTAGTACTCGATTTTTTTCACACCTTTTAAACCTTCACTAGACCTCCGCGAACATTTCAAGACCAAGATAAGATAAATCCGTTTAGCCGTTGTCGAGTTTTAGCGAGACTAACGAACAGCAATTGATTTTTATATATATAGTTGAATGTATTTTGAAGTGAAGTACATTATTAACTGAGAGGCTCGTATCTACCCTAAGTTATAGTGACTAGACCATTGTCAACCACGCTTGCCCTGTGACAGGTGACTTCAGACATATCTTTGGATATCTTCTCATATATATATGCAAATGGCATCACGACGTTCTTCTTCAACGTAAGAACGTTTGATAAATGTAAATATTTAAATCGTAAACGTAAAAACACACTGGTATATGGCGGGATCCGACCCCAAGACCTGCAGATTGCACGTCAAGTGCTTAACCCTTGCGCCACCGACACAGTATGGATAGTGTTTTAATTAAAATAAAATAAATAGTTGTTAAAAAATCTTAAAGTAATAATTCTTATAAAAAGAAATCATTTATTGTTTGTTTCTTAGAATATAAAATAATACATAGTTAATTTACGTAGTATATTTTTCTTTCATAATGAATCGCGTCGCCAGCTTTTTTAAAAATAAAATAGAAAAGAGATTCATTGCAAGGAGTTTTTCCTCTAGTCATAGCGTCGCTGTTTCTTGTCTATGAATGCAATTAATGTTAGTGGAGCTTTCAATGTGCATTTAAATTAAAAAGACATTCCGACTCTATTGAGTTGTTTTTAAATGTTTGTGAAAAAAAGAAATGTTAAAAATTGTAATCTTCATCTCCACTCTTAAAGAATGTTCCGCAGAAGTATTGATACAAAATTGTATTATCTTTATCTCTCCTTATGTCCTTTTAAATTGATTTGATACACAAATCACATTTTTGTCTTTAAAGGCTATCTTTTTAAACTTCAGCCACGCCAGAAGTTTCTAATCATGCATTTCTTATTTTCTTTAACGTATTTCAATTGTTTTTCAATATAAACAAACAATCATCATTAGTCTCGTTTTGTGTTTTGATATTTCATTAGTTTAGGTTAACCAATTACATAAATGTTTCAATCAAATGTCACAAAACAAATAGAATTGTTATTTTTTGTAACAAAAGAACAATCGGCAGGCGACCGCGATCGCCGCCAGGGGGCGTTCGCTTTCAGAATAATTGCAGTTCCAGCTACTAGTTTATTCTTTTTCAACTTCGAAAATTAATTAAAATCAAATCTAAAAAATTGTATTTCCCTTTGCTTTATTACTCCATTCTTGCGTAGGAAATGGAATTAGCTTTTGATTAAAAAATATTTCCTGCAGTGTTCGTAAAGCTTAATTAAACTCAAATGAAAAGGAAATCACAATTATGATCTTTTGGAATTACTTTTCAAAGCTTTGGTTAACATCATTTTAAAATACGAGTATGTACGGATTTTTACTGTGGGCAGAATAAAAGACAAAAATATATTTATGTTACATGCGTTATTTATTGAAACAAGTGAATGCAGCATTCATCGAAACAAAAGAACCTCATCCTAATTGGTGTTACGATAAATTGTCATAACTTGTTACGACGCCCACGGTCCAAGACACGGTCCACCTGTTCCCTATCGGCCCGCTAGTGGACACTACGCGAAAGTCATTACTATTGATGTGATGAGTGGTGATTGTGACTTTAAATGTGAATTTGTTGCAGAGTGTACAACATCATCGTCATCGAGCATGCTTGGTGGCATTACGACAGTATCTGTAGCGGTGACTGGACTGGAGGCGCGGCCGTTGTCACGCAAAGTGCGCCCTAAGCCCGCCTCACCTAACAGACAGGGGCCACAGCAATGTCAGGTAATTACAATAGCCACTACCACTTCTGTCCAATGCTCAGTTACTGAAGAAGACTTTAGTTAAAGTAAAACATGATAGTAATAAGAGTTGTATTGTTTTGCTGTTATGACCTTAAGACTATCTTAGGAATTGGACTGTTAAATGCAACATTTTTAGTACAAATTTGTTGCGAAATACATAGATATCTTGTCAATCGGGAATGGAAATCACACGTTATACTATGCAAGAGTTTTCCTAAGCATAAACCGCTTATGTCATTGATATATTACGTCAAAATATACGTATATATGATACATAATTTAAATAAGTATCCATTGTTTACAATGACAAAGTAATATTGGGTAAATAAAAGAAAAAACAAATATTTAGAAGAATATAATTTACGCGATTCCACGCTCTTTCATTTTCTTAACACATTCGTTGTTATTATTGCACGTTGTAAAGAAGAAATGTTATTTCTTTGACCTTGAATGTGAGTGTACAAGACATAAAATAATACTTTTTCTTTACAAAAAAACGTAATATTAAAAAAGTTTGTGGTACATAACAAGTACGCAAGTAATAAAACACTAGACAAAAATAGTTTCAACAATGGAAAAAGCTTTTTATAAGCTTTAGAAATTCTAGAAGCTTAACTTAAAGCTCATACTGTGTCTAAGATAGACGTAAAAATAATGTTTGCCCTATTACTAAAATGCTTGTTTTCTTTTCACAAACATATCAATGTACCAAACTCTTCTATCTACTAACCTAAAAACTACTAAATACATAACAGCAGAAACATATTTAATAACATATTAATATATATCATACATCGTTTTGTTCGTTCTTACGTTTGTCAATGTCTTCTTTACGTTTCCGGTCCCGTGGCGATTGACATATTCTATACAATCCATTTGTCTTACTTTTACAAAGGCTCACACACACATATAAACATATCATACACACGCAAGCAAACAATATGCCTATTTACTCATCGGTTATTTCATATCGAAGAAACCCTTTATTGTAAGGTAAGGGCATTTTTCTAGTTCAGTGAACAATACATTGTTATTGCCACTTGAAGCTTACTCGATATGGGCATTCAATTTCTATTCACAATCTATTACTAGTTATATGACATATACAGGTTGATAATAATCATACTTCATACTGATATTATAAATGCGAATGTTTAGATTGATAGATGTTTTGAAGGTATCTCCGGAACGGGTTAACGGATCATGATGAAATTTGGCATAAATGTAGAACATAGTCTGTCAGAATACATAGGCCACTCATTTTTTTTAAATTCTGCGCGGACAGAGTCGCCGAGCACAGCTAGTCAATCAATACATACAAAATTACTCCGCAATGTTGGTATCTTATTTGTGTAAAAACGATACTATATAAAACGATACGATTACGTCTAAATCCCGACTAATGTACCCATTCTTCATTATTGGTACAATAGTTATGTTGTGTCAATATTGTGTATAATATTTGGATCGATACTATCGAAAATCAAAGCGAAACTTAGTTTACGACTAGTGTTTACTTATTTATAAAGTACCACCATAGACAAATAATATAAAACTAAAAAAAGTAAAAGTTGTAATACCACTGACGTCTGTCCATTGGACTGGTTATAAGCCGTGGTAAGTTGTGCCTATTTGACGCTGACATTAGTGTTGTTGGAAACTCTAGCTAATAACAAAGATAGAATTAACCACAAATAACTTCATCTGGAGTTTTTAATTAGGTTGCAAAAGCTGTTAATCCCACTCATCGCCCTATTCAGAGTTTACCTAGTTATATAAGTGTATTACATTTAAGATTTATTTAACATAAACACGACTAACATTTAAAACACAACTTGAAACTGCACGGAGTTTTACCTAAATGAATCATTTACACACAAAATCAAATTTACTCGAATATGCGAGTAAACAAGGATATGAAAATCGAATTTATAAAACGGGATTTACGAGTGATGCGCTGTCAGTGGGAAATACGAAAAGGCAAAGGATCAACGGAAGATGGCAGCACGAGGCTTTAATCTGTAAATCCTTGAGGCTGACGCGCATCATCCTTTTCTATGACTTAACCTTTTTATACAAATACAGTCGAATTGAAAGTAAAAAAAATAAATTTAATGACCAATTAACGTCACTTAGAAACTACCAGTATTTTAATTGTTTTAGACATTAATAGTTAACGTTACGCGAATGGCGCGCTTTCGTTACCAAGTCAAGTGTCAGATTGATTAGTGAGGGGACATAAACGTTGACATTTTAATAAGTTTACTGTTGCGCCGATACACCGGCATAGTGTCGAATTTTCTTCATAACAATAGTTATAAAAACGGTTGTTTTGTCTCAACCTATTAACACTTAGCAACTCAACAAGAAAACGTCCGTAGTTTTAGTTAGTACCGGGCCTTATGATATGGTACACCAAAGCCACAAGACATTTTATTTTGGTACGAAAAATGTATAATAGTTACATATAAGTGTGTACTTAAATGACCACAAATCAATTCTGAGTGTCATAAAGGAATTAGTGATCATCTAATGAATCCTTCTAAATTAACGAACTAGCGAGTTTCATTATAAAACGTTTCATTCTTAATTCATAAACATCTTCATCCCATGTATACATAGGATGGAGATGTACAAACTTTTTAGAACAATGAACTATAGAACGAAGGGATCCGAAACCTCTACACCACTATTTGTTTCTACAGCTATGTAGTTCTGGAACTTTCTATAACTTTTCCAATTTGTAACTAATACAGAATACAGAAATAATTGTAACTTCCAACACATGTTGATAGTCTAAATATTTGTATCTAGTTATTTCTTTCTTATTTTTCATTATTGAATCTCAGTAACTCTCATTATGAGCGTCGGTGGCTCAGTGGGCAAGCACTTGACTTGCAATCTGCAGGTCCTGGGTTCGAATCCCGCCATGTACCAATGTGTTTTTCGATTTCCGATTTACATATATACATTTATCCGACGTTCTTACAATGAAGGAAAACATCGTGATGCAACCTCCACATATCTGAGAATAAATTCAAAGATATGTGTGAAGTCAACCAACCCGCACTTGGCCAGCGTGGTTGACTATGGCCTAATCACTCTTAACTTAGGGTAGCCTCCGAGCCCCTCGGTGGGGACGTATAGTGAGCTGATGATGATGAACTCTCATTATCTTCTAGTTATTTTCATGAAAAGAGATAATAAGGTCTAGAAAATTATGACGACCAGTACCCCACTTAATTGTATTCCACCCGTACTTTAAGAGTCAAGTGTTATCAGACTTAGACCTAGATTTCAGACCTATGTGATGTAGTTCTAAGTTAGAAGTATACAAAATAAGAAAATATTCTTATTACTACACTAGAGGTCGCCCGCGACTCTGTCCGCGCGGAATAAAAAAAACAAACATAATTAGTAGCCTATGTGTTCTTACAGACTATGTTCTATGTGTATGCCAAATTTCATAGAGATCCGTTCAGCCGTTCTTTAGATATGTTCAAACGAACATCCATCTAAACATTCACATTTATAATATTAGTAAGAAATAAGATGACTGTATTTTATCAATACACCTTTAATTTAGCAAAAATACAAACAGATAGAATTCAGACGAAAGGGAAACGACAAATTGTGTTTATAGGTCAGCGTAATATCAACAAAGGAGGTGAAGGTGGAGTAACCGAGTCCGAAGGAGGGGTGAGGTAACGTAAAGGGCGCGTGACGTCACTCCCCATTATTCCAAGCCATGACGAACCGCTCTTATACAAACTTTACGTAACCGGATATTCTGTAGGTGGGAAAGTAACCGTAGGTTTCAATTGCCGAAAGATCTGCACAAAAATATGTTGCTATCTCTGTTTTTTCAGAGAGAATGAAAGCGACGACAATATGTTTTAGTATGAATGTTTAGGTAGTGGAAAACCACCCTAAGTGTATCCGTGTAAATTGATTTACCCCACTCACTGTAGTATAAAAATACTTTAAACGATAACATTACCTATATATTTAAAACGGCAGTTCATTATTTTAAGTAAATTTTGATAAATGATTTCACAATGATCACGCGATAAAAAAATAAATCAAGAATGAAATAATCTATATGTATATATATAAAAGAAAGTCGTGTCAGTTACACTATTTATAATAACTCAAGAACGACTTTACCAGTTTCGTTGAAAATTGGTGAGGAGGTAGCGTAGAGCCAGGAGACAGACTACTACTTATCCATAGAATACTGTTTATTCATTTTTTTTCCGATTTTTTTTTAACTTACTAATATTAGAAATGCGAATGTTTAGATGGATGTGATGTGGATGGATGGATGGATGGATGGGTGTTTGATGATATCTCTAGAATGGCTGAACGGATCTCGATTATATTTGGCATACGTATAGAACATAGTCTGAAAGAACACATAGGCTACACTAATTAAGTTTTTTATATATCCACACGGTCGGAGTCGCGGGCAACAGCTAGTATGTTATAAATTAAATTAAGATAAATATAATTAGAATGATTTTTGATGCTTCAAAATATTACCGAATCTAGACACACAAGATACGCTTGATAAGTCTGTCTTTAAGACACACGATTTAACTAAAGCTCTGTCTTCAACATAAGATAATGCCAATTACAACGGATTAACTAACAATAATGATCATCGCAATCAGTTTTGTCTATGAGCTATCATAATTTAATCTCTTCACCAAAATTCGGAATTATGAGAGGGGGACGGGGTAAAGAGAATGAGATTCGACTGATACTGCTAATTGGGCCGTCTGGGTAATAGCCTTGATGGTCCTTACCAATTAAACGTTATTGATGTCGCCCGCTGTAGATCTGGAGGCGACCCTCGTCTCGTTTTAACCCCATCTCGCTATCCTGCTAATAATTAATCAACCAATTACGAATATCCAACGAATAACTCTCTTGTTTTCCTTCAATTGTATCGATGCATACCGCATTTTGTCAAAGGTA